TACCTTAAATTTATCACATAAGCAATAAACAAAGGAACAAGCAAACAAAAACGACCAAACTGTTTCATTATTTGTCAATATCACCAAAAAGAAAGACCAAATAAGACCAAACAAAAAAAGTAACCTTTTAATGCCAGCGTGCACGATGCGTTCGTGTTCGTTACGTGCAGATGCTGTCACAAATCTTCTGCCACAGTCCCATGTGCACTCGTACGGCTTTTCTCCTGAACGAATTAATTCATTATCACCGTCCTAAAACCAATCATCAAACAATAAATCGACACACCAGTATGCGCCCGTCTCAGATGTACTCTCAGTGGATTCGCAGTCGAGAATCGCCATCCACACACGCCGCACTCGAACGGCTTCTCGCCCGTGTGCGTTCTCAGATGCGCCTGTATTTTCGATGGATGTTTCAGGATCAGACCACACTCTTCACACTGCGCCACCAGCGCTGATCGTCTCGTTTTGCTCGTTGTCTCATTCGCTGCTATGTGCCTCTTGCCTCTCGATGAACGCAACGACGGTAAATCAACATTCATTCCCGATGCCACTGATTCGATTATCTGAAATTCCTTTTTTCTTCTGCACCACTCGTTTTCGCTTGTCATTCGAACAATTCCAAACAATCGAATGTAAATCAAATCATATTCAACTAAATAAAAAGCATTTCCCACTCACCTCATCTAATCTCTTATTCGCTATCTGTTGCTGTTTAATGATATCACCCAGTGGTGGTTCGAAGTGCACAATTGCAAAGTTATTATCGTTGAAGTGAACGCCATCCTCCTCCTCCTCATCATCCACTTCGTGTTCTCCAATCAACGGTTCAGCTGACGTTCCAGAGGTGGATTCGAATAAATTCAACTCTTCGGCAGACGTTTGGAATCGCAGTGGAATTGAACGGCGCGGAGGTTTCAGGTGCGGACATGGCGGTCCTTGCCTTAATTCCAATACCAGATGGGATTAAATCACAACTATCCTTCACAGTTCACATTCACTCTAATGCATCTACACCCGAGTCGATCTGATCTAATTCAGTTCAAAAATATATGCATTTCGTATATATTTTTGAATTGAATTAGATCAGATCACAAATCACAAATCTCTTGAATCTCTTAATCACAAAATGTAACTTTGTAATCAACAAGCAAAACGAATCAAAAAAAGTACCAAACAATAAAAATAACAACCGTTTTTCGCCCATATGAATCCTCAATTCGTGTGCGTTTTTAATGGCATTCGATACGAAACTCTTTCCACATCCCCATGAACACTTGAACGGTGTATCGCCAATATGTCTTCTCACATGCATTCGCATCGGTGTCCGTTGTGTGAATCTTCAATCATTCATTGTAATCACCTCATTATATAACAAATCAAAGAAAGCAATTACCTCATTATATAACAAATCAAAGAAAGCGATTACCTCATTCCACAGATATTACACTCGAACGGCTTCTCGCCTGTATGTGTCCGCATATGTGCTTGAATCTTCGATGGATGTTTCAGAATCACACCACAATATTCACATCGCACTATCTTTAAACATCTCAATATCATAACCATAGCAACAACTCTAAAACAATGTCAAAACTCTTCATACCGTTGCCTTTTTCCTCCTCGACGTGCCATTCGCATCGCCTTCAATCTCTTCATACATCTGATTCACCATCAAACAACCATTACTACCATTATTATTGTTCTCCTTAATTACATTTTTTCATTCAAACAACTTCATTTTCTAATGACTGCTATTGATAATGACCACCACCTTCAAATGATTTAACATTCAAAACAAACAAATAAATAAATAAGCAAATACCTGATTATTATTATCATTAATCAATGCTTTGACGGGTGATAACGTGTTGTCATTATCGTTGCTAGCTGCACTGCTGGCCACACTCTCAACTACTGCTGTCAGTTTTGCATCGGCTTCATCGAGTATGCTTGAAAAGGACAGTTGCAGATCATTATTGCAGTCATCATTACTGCCCCCCACCACATAATCGTCTGTTAACAAACACGATGCATCCACAAAATTATTCTCGATTAAACCATCATCTTCGTGCAATATCATCCCTTCATCCTCTCCCGTCATCAACTGCAATTCACAACTTTGTCATAATAATAATAATAATAATAATAATAA